CATCAGGACGCTGATGGGGTATATAGGTGACCTACTTGGGACGCCAGTAGGGTATTTTGTGAAATTTTTTGAATTATGCACTGACGTTAAAATGTTATACGCATTTCAATTATTCGAATTATACTTAATTATGCATTTTTTAAAGTGAAACTGTTGATGCATTTCTGTTAATAGATCTCTTTTTTGAAAATATTGATATCTTTCAACCATGATTATTTTTAGGATTATGATGATCACCTCCTGAGTAGCCAAACTCATCAAATTATAGTAAACATTTTTTTCAGGATAACTGCGGTTTCATTTTGAATTCCCATTCAGGATCAGCTCTGAAAGATATTGTAGTTGTGCTTAACTTTCTTTTGTTACTTTGTAAGAATTCGCCACTATAAATTTGTCCTATCAAGAGATGTATATATGTTTTGACTGTCACATCTCAAGAATATCTGTATTGTAAATTCCTGGGGCGTGACAAAGCTATTCCTTCAACCTAAGTAAAGCCCATTGCTATTAGCCTAGCCTTATATCTATCAATTGTCATGTAGGTTTAGTTTTTCAATGTAGACTAATGGCCTTTTTGCTTTATGATAGATCCACTAAGGTCCATGTCTTAATGTAAACTTTTCTAAAGCTTCATTCTATGGTAAATTAAATTTGCATGGTAAGCTTGAATAATCATCAATAAAGTTGATCAAATATTCATGTCTTCCAAAATTTCAACATTTAATCTTTGACGATTTTCAGTATGTCTAACATCTTTTGTGCTTATTACTAAGGAAATGGTTTTCTATATATTTACCTTGTAAACAAATTTGACATTTGAATTTTCCTATTTCTTAATAAGAGATTAAGTTTTCTTTCATCATTTGAGACAATTTTTCACAACCGATGTTTCTTTAATTTTCTATATCATACACTAAAGCTTTCTAGAATAAGAGGAATAAGTAATATAAGAGGAAGGTGGTACTTTTATTCCATTGATTTCAACGTTGGCATAAATTTCCACAAAGAGTGGCCTTTGCTACAACCATCTCATCCTTTATAAGAGTCCTTTTACCCAATTTTACATTCATTTTAAAACCATCGATATCAACATTGGACAAGGAAATGAGATTATGCCTCACTCGAGGACATGAAAAACGTCAATGCAAATAAGAGTATCCTCATTAGGAAGAGGAAGTTTCGCAGTCACCTCGAAAGAATTTAACCTCTAATCACCCATCTTCTTTTCTTAAACTCTATGACATACTCCTTGCTTGTGGTGATAATACCTTATCGCCACAATAAAAGATAAGATACAATAAAATTTCATCTCATGTCTCACAATTTCTAATCCTCTATTTCAAATTGACAATATTTTTAGGATAAATATTCATAATTTAACACTCTAAAACTATCATATATTAGGAATAGTTGAGTAATCCAATAATCTTGACATGATACAAACCAGTTAAACATAAAATAAAATAAATAAAGCATTATAAGTGAACAAATTAAATTAAACTTCTCAAATTAACAAGCTTGGCGCATTTCCTTAGCCAGGGCGGGCAATAAGCTGGACAGGCCAAGCCCTACAAAACTAGGCTTGAGCCTAGCCCAAGTACTGCACCTAGACCTGAGAAAGAATAGGGTCAACCCAGTTCGGCTCAGCCCAACCTTTTTTTTCTTATTTTTTTTCTCTTTCATTCTAAATCAAGCTTATCTTTAATGCTCATATAAACTACAAAGTCCCTGCGGGAGAAGTACGAAAAAAAAGAAAAGCCCAATCAATGTTTTGTTTGTTTTTCGAAGTAAATAATCAAATCCGAACACTAAGCCCAACTAACACAAATGCTGCATGACCAGGACGAGATCAGGTTCACGCATTCCAAAATGCCTTTCATATGTAATATTTAGAAAACAAGCTTTCTCATCCATGTTCCATTTATTACTTTTCAATAAGAAGCAACATTCTTTAAACAAGAGAAGACACTTGCAACCACCCTGGATTACCCTCTGTGAGAGAGAGAGACTCAAGTATGCAGCATTCATTTTCTAATTATGGAAAAAGTGCCCACAAATTTCACAAGCATTTGGTCTCTGCCGTTTTAAAAAGAGAACAATATAGTACAAAGATTTCAGACCTACCCATTCTAAATCACCCACAAAACTCTAATCATGGAAGAGGATCCAAGAAGATGGAGCTTTTCCCACCCACTAAACAAGAACCGCGCACACACTCAAGGCAAACCCCAACAATCTCCCCACTCTTCCAAGTTAGTATCTTAAACTCAAGAGAAATCCAAACAAAATCATGGCATGGTTACAAAAATTTACTTTCTTCAAGCTAGGGGACTAAGTTGGCTTCGGCCAGCACGAATAACTTCATCCACAAGAAGCAATTGGGAAGCAATCACAGGCCTGCATCAAATAAAATAGGCTAGTTTGTCCAGATGAAAAAGAACATAAAACGGGATCCCAAAAAAGAAGTTATTGACATTCTTAGAAAAAACAAAAAACATTATTATACCCAGAGTTTCTGATCTGCCGCTTCACAGAGTAGTTGTCAAAAATACCCTCCATTTGGGGGTCAATTGGTTCCCCAGTGTGATGGTTCAACCCCACAATGTTACCCCTTGGACAGTCTTCTGTATATTGTTCACTAGGTGCTGCCTTGCTGCAACTTCAAAAGCACCTGCCCCCTGCCAAAGGATCATCCACCAGTATATAGTGAAACATGTCTCAGCACCATTCACATTCATTTTATAGTAACAATCACTTCCGAATTAATGTGAATATCAATTTGAAGTCTCGTAAAGCCAATAAAGAACTATAATCATTAAGGAAAATATCAAATTTATAAGCGTTGACAGGTAAAACAATGACTAGCTTTACAAGCTCTCTCTCTCTCTGCTCTCTGCTCTCTGAGGCCAATTTCTCTCTCTATCAGGTCTCACCATCTCTCTAAGTAGATTAGGACTTTCATTTTTATAATTTTTTATATGTTACACTGAAAATTATTATTATTTTTTTTAACAATAGATAATACTGAAAATTAGGGTATCCATTTTGTTTTGAAAGTTAGGATTCTGCCTTTTTTGTGATTTTCAATAGATTATACTGGAAAATTATTTTCAGAAGGTTACGCTGCATTCTTTTTTAAGGGTGCCGTTTGTTTAGAGCCTAGGGTCTAAACAATCAACTTAAAGCCTACCTTCAAATAGTGTCGAGAAATGTGGTTTCAATACTATAAATCTTTTTGACATCCTTAAAATATATTTTTATCTTTATTTATAAAGTATAATGCTTCAAAAATAGTGTAGATAGACAAATCTATGAAAACTTGAAAATCTTGAAAATTGACAGTCCAAAAAAGCGTTATAAAATACACTATTTCGAAAACTTGAAATCCATTTTTTTCACATGTCCAAGCATCTTGATGTCGAGATCATTAATTTGAGAATATTTGGGCATCCTCTAGTGAAATTTTTGAAGTAGGTTGTTATTTCATTGTTTAGACCCGCTGCTCTATATAAACTATATACCCTTTTTTTAAACAATATATTATACTGAAAATTAGGGTTTTCAAGAGGGTTTTGATTTTAAAATTAGATTTTTGGATTTTTGTATTTTCAGTAGATTATGCTGAAAAGTAAGGTATCAAAAAGAGAGTTTTGATTTGAAATGGGATTTGAAAAATACTGAAAATTACCAAATGAGGGTTTTCATTTGAAATGAGAGTTTTGAATTGCAATCATATTAGAAAATTTCAATTACAGTGAGCGCACTAAAAAATTTATAATAGTATTAAAAATTTATAACTGATCATTCACTGATAATATAAACTGAAAATTGTCTATATTGAAATTGCTATAATGATTATACTGAAAATATATAGTGATCATATTAGATCTCTTAAAATTATAATGAAATTACTTATGGTGATTATACTGGAACAATTCATAGTAATTATACTAAAGAATTCTATACATATTGTATACTGAATTTTCAATAAGCTGAATTTTTTTAGTATAATGGTGTGATTATACACACTGAAAATTTTGATTATATTGAAAATTTTCGATATACTGATCATATAATCAGTCGCATTTTTTGGTTCATCAATGCTATTTATGCTTTGTTCTTGTTCTTCTACGTTTTTAATTCGTAAAGTATAATGCTTTCGTGTATGAAATGCTTTGACAATGAATGCAAAAATCTTAACCGAAGCATGACATGGTCTAGCTCCTCATTTCCCCTAAGGACGCATAGTTTCAACATTTGAGATTATTATACTTCCATCATGCCCGTTATTGTCCTCTGAGACCCAAGCTGTTGGGGTCTCATGACTCAACATTTGTCCTTGGAGGCCCCCTAGTTGTTCGGCCTAAACTTCATTTGGCTGTATCTTTTGGCTCCATCTCCCTCTGGCTCTCAAGCATTTAAATGGATGATTTTGGCAGGGAATAACACTGCGCATAATTTTGAGACCCAAATAAACCAGCACCCACTTTGTTGGATGCTTATTCTTAGGCTTACCATATGGGGATTAGAAGTAATCACCTATGTTAATTAGTGATTCAAAAACGGACTGCCCAGCTCCTGGGCAGCCGCTTCGGCGGCCTAGAGGGCCTAGGAGCATCACCCAGGCACAGGCGCCAGAAAAAGGCGGAAATCCTTTGGTGGCCACCTAGGCACTTAGGAACCTGCCTAAGCATGGCGCCTAGCGCCCAGCGCGGGGCAGCCGCCAAGGGCCTGTGCCCCACCAAGAGGCAGAAAACCCATTCGGTAGGGGCAGTTTTTGTCTTCTTTTTTTTTTATACTAAAGGGCTAAATTGTGGGTTTAAGGTTTATTTGAAACCTAAAACCCATTTTAGACTGAGAAAAACCCCCAAAAAACTAGTTTTTGGTGATTTATTTAGGATCGAAGAATTTTTCAAAATTAAAAGAAATTGATCAAAACATCACCTATTGATATTAGATTAAATTTTTAACTTTTAACTATGTCTATGTGTGGAATGTGGGCCACACTTACTATCAATCAGACTATGGATAATTTATAATTGAATATATGGACTTATGGTTATACTCAATTGTGCTCCTATGTGTTGTGTAGTATACTTTTGAATTTTGATGTGTGCCTTTAATCCCTAATTCTTATATTTTATACAATATACATTTATACTTATACTGTTAGAGACTATAGAGTCATTTTTTTTCCTACTGGGCTGCCTAGACCATCCGCCTAGGCATTGGGCAATCTGGAACCCCAAGACACCTAAGACCCGCCTAGCACTTTTTGAAACATTGATACTAATCTAAGTGGTGATTGACAATGGCAATCATTTCTTTGTTTTTAAAGTTTTTTTTTTTTTAATTGACCCAAAATTAGTGTTTGTGATTATAAGTTTTGGGGCACAAATGCCTTAAGATGCTTCAAATTAACAACTAGAAGAAAATAAACTATCACGGACGAGGGAGAGAAGGATCAATGGTCACTTTCCTATATATCGAACGCTAAACCCTGAAAAGGCACACTAATGTCTTCTAGATGACAAATAGAAGTAAAATAGATTTCAACTGTCAAAATAATTATGAAGTCTCTCTTGCAGGAAAGTTGAACCTCAAGTTTTCTTAATTCATCAATCAGCAATACGTTTTCACCTCTATCTGTAGGGGTTTCCCCTTCTTTGCATCTCATTTTCAATTATATTTATCTATAAAGTGAGATCCATATAAAGTATATGATAGATAATCAACCCATTCTTGGATCTGATGCTCCTAAGAATAAGTCTAACGAATAACAAAACACTACTTGCTACCGAGACCCCATTACACAAATAATAGCCTGCGTTGATGGCATTTCCTTTTGTGATATTGGAATTATGTCTTTGATTCTCTCTAAAAGAAGCAAATATGAGGTATACAGGAGACTCGAGAAAATCGACAAATGGGAGGGAGAGAGGGTGTGTGTTCACATGTTAAAGAGTAAGTTATTGATTAATTGAATGATGAATTTTTCCTCAGAACTGTCCATTTTGTTACTAATGCTATGGATAGGTTATGACACAAAAACTTTCATCAAATGGACAAATATCAACCTCTAATCAACAAACTATGCAACAAACTGTTAAAATAGGCTAATTTTCATATCCATGGGTACCCAATTTCAAAGGTTTAACCAAACAAGGTAAATTGAAATCGCCAGGGAATCTAATAAAGTTACCAACAAGGGTTCCCAACATCCAGGGCTCCATTTCCAGGGCATCCATTCTCCTGGGCACCTAGCTTCAAGGGGAAACCGCGAACCCCAAGATCAACTCCGAAGGAAAAAGGTCCAAATTCTCAAATTTTATCCTATAGAACTTTGCCAGAAGACTATCCCATAACCCTAAATAGAGAACTGTAACTTTCACTTAATAACTTGCATTCTCCTTGGACATGATTTTTATTGCTTAAAAGAGGTTATAATTAAAGTATTCTATAATAATTGATACTTCAAAGGACTTACTTCAAAGCCAGTAGAATTCAGCAGTATTTAAACCACATTTTCAATAAAATTTATAACAAGATAATTTCTAACATATAGCCTTTCCTCACTTAAATTTACTGTTATAATAAGCGAGGTGCATCTGTATTTGGATCACACTTAACAGAGCACCTCAAGCTATTTCTCATGGACATCATAAAAGCTAGTACTTTCTTTTTTTCCTTTTTATTTTGCTTTTCACAGATTGGAACCATTTAGAATTGTCACCATTAATTTTGGCTTCTATTTCACTTATGGCTACATTTCTTATACAGTAGAACTAAAGAAAAGCGGAGGGGAAAAAAACACAAAGGAAAACGCTTAAAAAATTACATCCCCATTGCATTTTACAATTTTTACAATTTTGTTTTTTTTTAATGTTAACTCATGAGACCTGATGAGAATGGAGCTCTAGATGTCACGTCATGGCACCCGCCACCGGTACCAACTCCTCCTAGAGCCCATTCTAAATTTTTTTATGAATTCTTTTTCTAATATTATAAACTACAGACAGTGGAGTGATCATCGTTCCTGCTACCTATCGTAAAATACTGGAGGTTACTAAATATTGGATTATCAAAACATAAATTATAAGAGAGTCTAGTGCAAAAAGCTGAAAGTTGAAAACTTGCTAACATAAAAGACAAAAGAAAATAAGTGATAGGGCTTTTCCCTTTGAACAATCTCCCCAACTACATTAGGGGATCACAATCTGGATTGAAATTAACATATGGTTGATTTCCTATGATGAAGAAGGATTTCCTTTACAAATATGTAGCATGAAATAATACCCTTCTTTTGCATGTGATGTTAGAGATCTTCAACCCAAACTAGGAGCTATCACTCCTAGTTTTGATAATCAAATACAAAGAAGATAGCAAATTCTATTTGCTTTTAGAATATATCATATTAAGTGCATTGAGGTTGCGATGCTCACCAAAATTACCGCTTCGTCTTCAATTCTATTTTTGACAGATCTCAGACCATCACGGACAGCATCCTTGATCTGAGCAATAGTGTGATCATTTGGCCCTGAAAACATCATAATTCACATTTTCAGTCATGCAGTATAAAGCTTTACAAGGAACATCAGTTTGGAGGATGATTCCTGGAATAATTGGCTCGCTAATACATGTGGAGACACAGTTCAACATCAAATGAATAAAAGCCTGGTCTCCTGCATAAGAAGATAGTCACTTTGCAAAAACTTTTGGGGAGAAGATAGTCATACCTTTGATTAAGATGGTACATGAGGAGCGATTCCTCACATTCTCTATGTATTTCTCCTCACCAAGGACACGCTCATAAACAAGGCCAGCCCATCCAAGGCATTCTGGAGACAAGACATCAACAGAATTGACTTCCTCTTCCCCACAGGCCAAAACAAGGTGCTCCATATTTCTCCTTTTTGTTCTCCTTAGAGCAATAATCTATAAAAAACAGAAACTCGGCAGTTGGCCCCATATAAAAATGAGAATCGATCTTCAGTTGAAGCAGTCGGGCAATAGTTGTTAAGGGAAGTTCAACAAGTAATTTGAGGGTCCACCTTTTTCCCCCAAAAACATAGGATACATTCAATTCTTTTGTTTATCAACATTAGAATGTCTATAACTTGCCAATAAGGTAGAAGACAAACAGTCTAATGAAAACAACCATTTATAAGGCAGGAGATAATAAAAGATTTCCAAAACTAATGACAGAATACTAATATGTAAATATGAATGCATCCATGTTTTCCCATTTACCTTGTAATTATAAACATAAATAAACCTTTCTCAGATGCCTTAAATAACATACAAAAGCAATTAATCTTCCTTGTAAAACACGTACTCGATAGAAACAGCAATATGTCATAAACATACATGAGTATATATTTGACTACACTCATTTTCTCATCATGATAAAATCGGACAATTGATAAATGAGATCTCTAGGCTGAAATCCAGGTATTGGAGTACTCCACTGGGCTAGTCCGGAATGGTGGTCCACTTATCTCGAATGACCCAACAAGCCTATTCCCCACAATCTATGGCAAGGAGACAAAATCTGGCTTTGCCGAAGTCCTTCCACTCAAGCATTCCAACTCTTCATTCTCAATGGATTACAGGTGCACCCATGGGAACATCGGAGTGCTCACATACAGGGTTCCTCTCAAGGCACATGTGTACTAGCCCTTCTTAGTAGGATCATACATTAAAAGAGTGGCTTCCCGTTCAACTGTGAGTGCACGTCATAGGGTGCTGTTGTGTAACGGTACCGACTCATGTCCCTTGAGTATTGACCATCCTATACAGGGCTATTACTCTAAAGATAATTTGGATCTATATTCTCTTTTTGATATCTCTTAGCCCTAGCCAACACACCAACACTAAGGAATACTCTAGATATAGCCCTGACTCAGAGGTGACCCACAAACCTCTACAAGTATCTTTCTCTCATCGATGTCACTCATTGCCTCATGCACTCGGGGAATATGATTATGGGCCTTAGTACACTAAGCACTCAAAATCGCTCACTCCCACTCAGTAAGAATCTTAGCTTTAAGGCCTTGAAAGGCCATAAATCCAGCATTCTCCCACTTGACCTTTTGAGGCCTTATACACATAAAAGACTCTCTTATCCTCATGCATACTCACACATACTCAAGCATACTCACATACTCGATATCGATATACTCATAACATACTCATATCATGCAAGAGAGTAAATATGCACGCTATGTTCCAAGAGAGTAAATATTCAAGCTATGTTAAACTCCTCGACCTCATACCATGTACAAGTTTCATTAATACATTAGTAGCCCAGCCTTTAGTTAAGGGATCCGTATACATAGCCTCGATAAGAATATAAGCCACATCTACCTCACCTGCCCCAACTTCATCTCTCACATGATAATAATGTGCCCTTATGTGCCTTGACTTGTTATGGAACCTAGGCCCTTATGCCATTGTGCTGGATGTGATGAAGATGATTGAGAAATTTCTTTATCCATGTCTCCCTTGGATGCGGATCATAATTTCACGTACTCGGCTCCTATAGTATAGAGAGCCACTCTGTCTTGCTTCTTGGTGCGCCAAGATATGGCACCATCCCCATATATGAAAACATAACCTAATGTTGAAGTCATCCAGATCTCCTTGGTAGTCGGAATCCAAGTAACCCAAGACACTTAACTCACTCACATTCTCATAGGTCAAGGCATAATAAATGGTTTCTTTCAAGTATCTCATGATTTTGTTAACGATTTTCCAATGTTCAATTTTGGGGTCACTTTGAAAGCACCCTATTAAGCTTTGAGCAAAAGCTAGGTCAGGCCTTGTACCCAAGGTCGCATACAGTAGTGAACCCACGACACTCCTATATGGTGTACTCTTTCCAACTCACTTCTCTCATAGTCCTCTCTTAGGCTCGTATTGATACTTAATTTATTCTGCTCTCAACAGGTGTATCAATGGGCTTGCACTCACTCATCCCGAATCTCTCAAGAATCTTCTTACAATATGTGGATTAGGATAATTGAATAGTACGGGCTGGTTCACATGTATTATTTGGATTCCCAACACATGAAACTTCTCCTATGTCCTTCACGTCAAAGTTGTTTCATAGCTTTGTTTCCCTTATTAGGTCTAATGTGCTACATGCTACTAGAATAGCATCCACATATAAGGTTATCAATTCTAAGGCCAATGACCTTATGGAGAGGGTATGCATAAAGCCAAAAGCTCTAGAACCATCGGAACTCAATATCAAAACCTATGACAAGACAAGACATCAAGCCAAGGGAATTCTCCCCCTTAGTCACCAAATAGGACTTGCAACCATCATTTGGTATTAGGTGTTCGGTTCATTAAGTTATAAGGTTTGTAATAAAAATATGTTTTATAACATGTGATGTTTTAGTTGTCCCAAGGAGTTTTGCCACATGTGGGATGGAACATATGTGCCTAGGTTGAGACTAGCTAGGAAATTATGATCTAAACCCTAAGTATTAAAATGGAAGTTGTTCCTTGATCTGCTTTTGTAGGTGGCTTGATTCTCTTAGCTAACCCCATGAGAATTCTATAAAATGGCAAATTGTGATTGGCTTGTCTATGACATATTATCCTAGTTGGAGTATCTTTTCTAAATTATCATAAGGGCGCCCCTATCTTTGTGGTGTTTTATACTTTCACAAAGATTTATGGACAATTATGGAATGACTAAATGGCATATGAGGAAAATTTTTATGGAACAACGACAATTTGGTAGAATGGCGTAATCTAGAATTCTATGAAGTGCTAATGGTGTGTAAATCACATCCATTGATCTTGATGGTTAGGCATGGATGTGTGGTTAGGATCATATGCCTCACATGTACCATAAATGAATAGCATTAAGGATTTAGATTCTTTCACTTACAAATATTTCACTGCCACAACTCTATATAAACCCTTGCTCCTCATTCTCAATACACTTGTGAACCATCTTAGAAAGAGTGAGAAGAGTGTAACCTTGTAACCTTCATGACCCTCCTATTGCGTTCTTTCCATTCATTCATTAAGCTTCTTCCGCTTTCCCTTGGTGAAGCCTCATGAACATGGTGGTCCATGCTAAGCTCTAAGGTGTCTAGTCCTCATGATCTAAGGTAATCATCTCTACCATTTCCTTCCTATTTTACGCCTTTACCTTATAGTTTGCATGTTGTAATTCATCCGTTACAGCAGCATCTTCATCTTATTCTCTTGAGTTTTTGGTTACCCTTTTATACTATGCATGTATGCTATATAGTGTGAATAGTCTAGTCCTTGGACCATTCTATTAGACATCAGCTTCTTTAAAGCTTTGGGCACCTGATTTTTTATGAGATTTTAGGCACTCTTTCATGAGAACCAGTGAGTATTTTGTGGCCATTTGAGTATCATTCACTGAAGTATTAGACAAAAGTGTTTGAGAAATTGTCCCATTATACATTACTACATGGTCATATTCATGTGCTCCATATGAGTTATTTTCATTTGGCTTCACCAAACTGTTCTGTTTTGTGCTTTAAAGATTCACCAACCAAACTTGTGCTCTGCAACCAAACCGGGGTAACCCCTTCAATTAGCCAACTTTTTATCTCCCCATCATTCATTCAAAAGGTTGTCATTTTCCTTTGGAGACCTTTGCTAATGGTGATTTTATGAACATTATGCGGTGAACATAATTCGAGGATCTTCAGAGGGAAATTCACAGTGAATTTACTTGAGAAAGCTTGCAATCTTACTATTTTTGGGAGAAAGCATGCAATCTTACTATTTTTGGGCCGAATTTTAAGCCCCTAAAACATCTCTACTGTCTAAGACAGACTTTTTCTCTCACTAGGAAAGTATCATTAGCTTGAGAACTCCTAGACCTCTTGCTCTTCCTAATGGCTCCACCAGTCAAAAGGTCCATTAAGCTGAACTTCGATAACTCCCTCAAAAACCCCGGTCAGGGTGGTTTCACAATTTTATTCCAACATCAATGGCCAAACTCTTTTTCTTTCTCTGGTTACCTTGGCTTAGGTGATTCTACCAAGGCCAAAGCCAATGCACTTATGGAAGGTCTTAGGTTGCGGAGAATCTCTGTTAGTGGAAGGTGATAACCCAAACATCATCCAGGGGGTCAAAAGATTGAATATGAGTCCATGGAGATTAGACCCCATTTTTTATCGCATCTTTTACCTGTGTAAGCATCTTCACGTTGGATTCCATCATATTTGGTGGGAAGCTAACACATAGGGGGATGCGTTATTCAGAGTTGAAGCTGCCAGCTTGGGGCACCCTCCAGGGTCCTAGTGTTTTCTTTTCGTGGACTTTTACTTATGTATATTTCTTGGTCTAAGAAGGGTGAGGACCATAAACTTTCCCTTAACTTGTCCCAAGCCTGATAAAGGATGTGGGTTGTGTTAGGTAGGCAGCCAACGTACAACTTTGCCAAATCTTTCCTTGAATCCTGAATCTCCAGGATTCATGTAGCCGATCCCAAATAGTTGGAAAAAGGCTCTGCTGATGATGACGAGTCTATTGTCTCTGGTTTACTGCACTAAATAGAAATTCAGCATTTAATATATATAACAAGCTCCATTAAAGAAACATTGTTTTTCCAACTGGTCATTGATGGAGAAAGATAATTGATGAGAACAAAAACTACAATTTCTATTCTAGATGGAGTTTATAAATTGAAAATTTAATTTAAGGCAAGCATGGCATGCCCAACCCATCCTTCTAATAACTTATACATGCTCTACATTTCCAGAGAAAAAAAAAACATTGCATGCTCTTCTACCAAAAACTTGTACACACTATCAAGTCTATACGGACCTCTTCTCATACTCCAATGAGACGTTACAAGTCAAAATATGGCAATTCTCAGCAGGTCTCTTCATATCTGGATGTCCGGATCTGTGATCAAGAACGAGACCTTCCACCTAGCAAAATAACAATGGCCAAAAAGTGGAAAGAGTATGTCTAGTGAATTCAAAAAAATTTCATATAAAGGCAAAAAGTCTATCCATAATAGCGAAGGCCAAAAATTCAACAATTTCACAAAAATCAAAAAAATGAGTAACATAGCGAAAACAAAGGTTACTTCAAATAAATCAAATCCTCATTGGGCAATTAATGGAATGAATCATGATAAATATTAAACTTTAGTCAATTAGAAATGATGGTGTGGAATAGAATCCTAAGCCCTCATGGATGCAAAGGAAGAACTAACATTATTTAGAGAAGAAAACAATTATAAATATTTGAGAGAAATGGACAATCTAAACCGTAAGCACCAGGATGGATCTTTTTTACATAAGCAAGTAATATCCCAAAACCCATCAAGCAACACATTCGTTTAAACAAAAATTTACATTCCCAAATTGAGAGATTCTCAAGAAGCTTCTGCACAACAAATATATTCATGCCTAGTGAATTTGATCAACAGTGAGGGTAGCATGGCAAGGAGGCCACATTTGAGTGGGGACTAAAATATGGTTCTAAGGCGATTATGACTAGCAGCAGTGAAGAAACTACGAAAGGGTTTGGATCACGGATCTCCAAGGCTGAAGCTGTGGCATACCACAAGATACCTTTCAGTTCAAGCCCAAAGTTTTATGCACAATTGTTGCAAGTATAGGTAAATGATTCCGTCTTGCATACCGGCTACTGCTTTCAAATTCCATGCTTCTAATTCTGCTATAAGCACCAAACATATCCACAACACTAGACAACATGCATGCACTTCCCTAAAAATCTAAGCAACCAAAACCCAACTCCCTGATACTAAATATACTTCAGTAAATTTTCATGGGGCTTCATAAGGTTTCTTCACATGAAAATTAGAATAAGAAAAAAAATCGAAGTTTACACACATCCGATCTCCTATACACTCCACACTTCCTAAGTGCTGCATGAGAGAGCATGTTTCCAGCAGAGAACAAAAACTCGTCTTGTGTCGGAAAACTTCCCTAAGTTAATTCTGCTCGTCCAGTGAGAATTCTATGAATGAAAAACTGGGTATGAGCTAAGTTTTCCTTGCATGTAATTGTCTACAGGTATTTGACACATGATTTTCTTGAATTGTAATTTTTCTGCAAGCATTTGATACATGATTTTCTTGAATGTGGCAGCATTGTTAACGTCGTAGGAGACAAGCTGGGTTCGATTTCCATTACAGACAGCTTTATTTGCTTCAAGAGAACAATTGGAAAATCCATCAAGTTTTTTCGAGTTAACTATTTGACTCGATGAGTCAAATCAGTTTTGGCAGGGACTGAGTCCTTAATCAAGTTTATGCTTTTGAACACCGGTTTTTAGCCATTTCACCAGAAACTAAACAACCAATAATTGAGTTCCTTTTCTTCATTAAACAATTGTAAACATGATTACTGACTGCCACAATCAACTACTCAAAGGTTTAATGGAATGACTCTTAAAATAGTGGAAGTCCAATTGGTAATCGCTTTTCTCCAATAAAATGTTGCAGAAAATCAACTAATCCTTCTTGGGTGAAGAATAAATGTGTAGGTCTCCCTTACCCTTACTTCATTTCAGACCACCTAGATCAACAGTTGTACAACACTACTCACGTGGGAAACAAGTGATCATTCGTCACCCTTCCAAACCCTCTAAATGCCAAAATAAAGGAAGTCATTTTCAAAGATTGAACAACTCTTGATCATGCTCAAACAACTCACAGCATTTTCAAAGATCAAAGCATGAAAAAAGAAGGCCGCCATCACCTGTTGACTAATAATGTAAATGTAGAGCATCTAAAGCATGAGACATGTGCACCAACAATAGACAGCAAATTAAAAGTAACATACCAGGCGTGTGTCTACATCAAATTTGTGGCGCATAAGCATAATCTCAACCATGAATAAATCAATGGGTTCATCGGGCTTACGAATACAAAGCACCTATTGAGATCCAAAATAATTGTTAAAGGATGCAAATAAGACCAAAGTTAATAGAAAGGAGTTGTAGCACACTATAAACCATATGATACAATACATGTATAAAGAATGGAGTCAAACTTCTTAGAATTAAAAATTCAGCAACTTTGCAAGGAACATAATGTTATAGCAACATTGATACACCATTGCAGAAGCACATTGGGATCAAAGGCACTAGCATATGAGATGGAGTGACAGAGCAAGAGACCAGAGACCACAAAATACAAATAATAATTAAATGCCTGAGGTGAAGAGATGTAACTACATCCATAGAAAATTCATTATAACGGTGACAATATAATATGCAACATCATGTGGAAAACAAGATTTTTAATCATGGCCAAAAAAGAACATTTAATATCTTCTTCCAATGCACAATCACAACAATGCAACTTTACAGTAAATTATCACTAAAACTAAACATAAATTATAATTCTTTTCATATAAAATTTTTTAATCAATTAAAAATTACAATCTGAAACCTTCCATTAATTTAACTGACTACTTCAACAATTTTTTACGAAATCTAACTTTGAGTCTGCCACAATATTAGGTAAACTTTCCCAAAAAACTTATAGCCCCCAAATACTCCCATGACTAAATTTTCACTTTGATGTGTTTCTTTAATTATTTTACCTCTTCTCAACCGTTGTCATCGAACTCTTTTCAGTTTTGTTGGGATTCACCCTCCAAAATTTCAATTTCAATATTTTAACCTCTCACTAACACATCTTTGACATCACATAATTTACTTTTTGTTCATGTTGTCCGCTCCCTTTCTTTTTGCATGTGTGTGCAAATTAAATTAGTCCATATTCATCAACACTTTGCCATCACTGGACATCTCAGTGTGATGTAGATACATGTGTTTCTGCAAGGTTTAATTGCTCAGCTTGGGCTCAGGATTCAGCCCCTTCCCAAGCCTAGTAACCCAAGCATATCCAAGTTGTCTCATCCGAGTAAGGTACAATCCTTAAAATGCCTCAAAATAAGCAAAAAATAAAAATAAAAATACCAAAAATTCAATAAAAGATCAGAAAAAGGGGAAAGAGAGGGAGACACTCTGCTACATAGAGGTAGAGAGAAATGAACACTAGGGGTGGATTTCTGCCCCTTTTCTGAGAGAAAGCGATGAAAAAGGGAGGGGGGATTCTGCCCCCTTAAAGAGAGAAGAAAAATGAAAATTGGGGGCAGATTTCCATCCTTTTAGATAGAAAGATGGAGAGAGAAAGAGAGATGAAATAGGAGGGCACATTTCCACTCCCCTTAAAAAGAAGAGAGAGAGAGGGGTGAGAGATGAAAATAGGTGGGCGCATTTATGCCTCCCTTTTAGAGAGAGAGAGAGATGAAAAATGGAGGCCAAAATCGGGCCCCCTTTTTGCTTTCCTTTATCAGTAGACAAGAACATATATTACCCTTAGATCTAAAAGGTTTCCAACTTTCCATGTACCCCAGAAGGTACATGGGAACTCCCCCTAGCTACCACCTAAGGCCAAGTAACTACGCCAAGGCCAGTTAACTCGGCTGAGTTTTCAAACCTGGCTCCTAAAGCTGCATCATACATAAAGAGATCTCTTTGAAAGTTCTATACATCACTTCATGTGTTATTACTTCTTCTTACAAAAGGTGACTTCATGTTTATGCTTACAAAAACAGTACTTTCGTGTCTGTAAATTGTGCTCAAGGGCTTGCTGTTCTATATAGGCTGTACATCACGATTATTTTTGCTTAGTGAGTGAGAAAAAATTAGGTGAAGAGAAAGTGAGAGAACAAGAGGAACCCAGAATATGGGTGGTGATATATCAGAATGGTCAGCAAGGCCGATCACCATTACAACAAACAAGATCTAATGGGAAAAACGGGTGGGTGATGTGAGAGACAAGGACATCGAAGGGATGTGAAAAGATAAAGGAGACATGGGTTGAGGAGGGGCAAAAAACATCATGCCACAAGGACATCATTAGCATGATAATAAACATGTTTAGCATTTGGACAGGGAGCTAGGTGGGCCAGGCACCCTGTTTTACCAACCCATCTGCTTTCTTGTTCGCTTCCCTCTATATGTGCTTGAAAGTCATTTAAAACTAATCTTGATTTCCTCATATTGTTCAAAGAATAGAAGCAGTCATGGCACGAAATCCAGATAGGATGCCCATGAAATAACATTTTGGCAATCCCCTTCCAATACAAAGGTGGAACCCCATCTGTTGTCAAGCTTTATCGCTACCAGCTAATTGTCCAGTTTCTCTATGTAAGCCTCTCAGTTGTTAAGAAGTCTGCTATTCCGCTTAAAAATTCTGTCTATGTATGATCACTTAAATCATGCACAATCGGTAGATAAATACAGGTAACAACAAGCAGACATTTTTTTTGCGCTGTAGCACACATGTACATGTCAGATTAAAAAGGGCAGAAACAAATCCACTAAATTTGAAAACCCAAAGGGAACAAGAAGCCACACAAATTTTACTTTTGAGGCAATCAGCCACACAAAATTGCAACATCCATACAGAAAATACCGTGATTATATGAAAGGACACCCATACAAAAGTAAAAGGCTCTATTAAAACCATGTTTTCCTTTCTCCTGTCTTTTTGTGATTGTAGAGATGGATGGGGGAGCACACTAGGTGACACTTCAAGACTCTACAAGATAGAATTTTCCAACTGAAAGAATGCTTCAGTTGCTAGTAAACTATTTTGCACCATCACAAAGAGAATGACACAGCAGTATTTCAAATAACTTTAATAGCCACTCACCGCATTGACGACTATGTCAGTCAGCTGATCAGCCAGAGCTTCATATAGCTGTAGGAGTGAGAATGAAGAAAACCAATACAAGGATGTCAGCAAAGAATATTTATGCTGCCCATATTGCAAGTGGGATCATATAAATATAGCTGTAGGAGTGAGAACGAAGAAAACCAATACAAGGATGTCAGCAAAGAATATTTATGCTGCCCATATTGCAAGTGGGATCGTATAAATAAAATGTCTGAATAAATCCAACTACCTTTGTCCTGAGTGTTGTCCTTGCAACCATCTTAAGAATATCTTTATCAGGTTCATCGCCCATCACAACAGGGGTTTGGAACTTTTCAAGAAACTCTAGTGTGGCTCGCTCGGCAATTTCAAAACCATCCACCAAAACACGCGGATGCATGCCTTAGAAAATAGAATGAAAAAGAGAAAACTAGAACAGAAATACCTATCCAAATAATAATAGTAACAACAACAACAAGAACTAACAAAACACTAATTAATAACAAAAGAAGCTACACCAATGCATTAGCACTCCAAATGAGTGAGTAACAAGTTACACCAAAAAGAAGAACTTATGCACCATAAGCATGAGATTTAGTAATACATAGTTTTCTGCATTACTTCTATTGGTTCTTCACACTCCTTTTTACTCAGAAATGAGGAAATACGAGGAGATATGATGCTTTTGCTTCATGATTCCCCAGTTTGACACACTTTGGTAAGACACAGAAAAAAATTGATAACGTATTCATTAAGTAAGATATGGTACCATGGATCCCCTTAAATGAGTTGAAACTTCTTAGACATTATTTAATTGATGCATGCACATGTTTTTTCATGCACACAAGCATCCGAGTACACCCATGCCCCAAATAGAAAAACTCAAGTGTCTATAATATACACACAAGGTACTTTCCCAGATACCCATGCATAAATACATGTCACATGAGAAAGTCCCCACATATATATAGCTATAACTTAATACACTACTATCGAGAGTCGATCCAAGCAAAGAAATGCATACCATATTATTCACCCAAGAACATGAGATAGGTGAGGGAAAATGGAGCATGTCAACCAACATGTGCTACAGCGTGATGCAACACAGAAATTGGTGAAAATAACTAACCTTTGTCAATATAGCGTTCTGATTGCTTCATGAGCTCACCAATAAAGAGCACAGTGGATATTGTACCATCCCCACTTACATCATCTTGTGCAAGAGCTGTTCTTCCAATCATTATTGCTGTAGGATTCTGAATTTGCTTCAAAAGAAACAAAAAGCAATAATAAAACTAATCAAAGCCAAATAACAAAGCCCAAGTACTAAAGAGAGAGAGAGGGGAAGAGACTGTACATACCGTGCCAAACTTTTGTGAGGGGAAGGGGAAAGGCCGGAGCCATCGGTTCCTGAGTTTGACTTTTAACTTCACTTGATATGTAGAGATAGAGTGGCCTTGATCTATGCCCAGACTAGGCCTACTCTCACCCCATGCCCGCTTTCTCTCTCTAAAGGTCAGGGCCTGCGCCTCCCTCTCAGCCGTGCCGGAAGGCCGAGCTCTCCATTCCCACTGCATCAAGCTTGGTCTCCACCCCAACGATCCCTTTCTCCAAACCTCCGTCCTCCACTTTTATGCCAAATGCTTTCTCTCTCCAGAAGCCCAACAACTGTTCGACGAAATAACCCATCCAGACTTAAGCTCATGGAACGCGCTCCTTTGTGCTTATACTCATTGCCCCAACAAAACCTTTCTCTCTATAAACCTCATGAGGCAATCAGGCATCAAACCAGATTCAACCACGTTCCTCACTGCCCTTTCAGCCATTCGGTCGAATCTCTCTCTACAACAAGGCAAGTGTCTCCATTGCCTGGCTGAGAAGAGTGGATGTCTATCTCATGTTTCCTCTGCAACTTCTCTCTTCACCATGTACGCGAATACAGGTGAATTGGGTTCTTCTTGGTTTCTCTTTAAAAGCCTTCCTTTCAAAGATTTGGTGGCTTGGAACTCAATGATTGCTGGTTTACGAAGGAATGGGTGTTATGAAGAAGCCTTGGATTTGTTCAGGCAAATGCAAATGGACAATGTGGGGATTGATTCCGCTACTTTGGTAATTGTTCTCCCTGCATTATCCCATTTGCGACTTCTGACTTTGGGTATGTCCATTCATGGGTTTAGTTTAAGGCATGCATTGGACTCCGGGTTTTCAGTGGAAAATGCTCTCATTGATTTGTATGCAAAGTGTAGGGATTTGAGGAGTGCAAATACCATTTTTGAGAGATTGCATTTTAGAGAAACTGAAGCTTGGAATACGATGATTTGGGGGTGTTTACATTGCCAAAAGTCTGAAAATTCCATTGGGTTTTTCAAAAAAATGGTATTATCCAATGCCATGCCAGATTCAATAACTCTATCGGTCATAATTTCAGCCTGCCATGATTTAGGGAACCCAAACATTGGAAAGTCTATTCATTGTTGGGGATTCAAAAGAGGGTTTGGGAATGCTCATATTTCTATGTGTAATTCGCTCATTTCATTTTACTCAAAAATCAATGATATTGAATATGCTTGTAAGGTCTTTGAAGGATTGGTTTCTAGGGACTTGGTCTCTTGGAATTCAACGATCAATGCTTTCATAGAGAATGAAAGAGTTTCAGAAGCTTTTGGCCTTTTGGAAGAGATGGAATCAGATGGTTTCAAGCCTGATTTGGTTACTGTGGTGATTCTAATTTCACATTGCTCAAAATCAAAACTGTTGGAGCATGGCCAGTTTATACATGGATTTGTGATTCGAAGAGAATTGGGTTTGGATTTGACTGTGATTAACAGTTTGATAGACATGTACACAAAATGCTCTGATATAAAATCAGCAATGTTGCTTCTTGAAAGGATGGATGAGAGAGATTTGATCACATGGAACACCATGATTGCGGGATATTCAGATAATGGCCTTTCAAGAGATGCCGTGATTCTTTTTCGAGATTTGCTGAATTCTAGTCAGAGATGTAACCTAGCTACTTTAATAGGTGTTCTTTCCTGTTGTGACTGTTTAGAGTCACTTGCATTTGGGAGATTAATCCACTCTTGGGAAATCAAATCGGGTTTTTCACAAAACGTAGCTGCCCAAAATGCCACCGTCTTCATGTACATAAACTGTGGAGATTTAGAATCTGGGCTGTCAGTGTTCGAGGACATTTCTGTGCAAGATGTGGTTTCATGGAACACGGTTATAGTTGGATGTGCACAAACTGGATTTTGCAGAAAAGCCTTGGAAACCTTTGACCAAATGCTTCTTATACCTATAAATCCGGACCCTATTACCCTTGTGAGTGTTTCTAGTGCTTGTGGTGAGCTCAAACTTCTAAACCGAGGCATATGGGTTCATGGATATGTACTCAAAATTGGACTGGAATTCAATCTCCATCTAATCAATGCATTACTATCTATGTACTGCAAATGCAAGGATATCAAAAGTGCAGAGCTTATATTTGGTAGTATCCCTAATCAAAGAAATCTATGCTCATGGAATTCAATGATATCTGGTTATGCACAGAACAAACAACCCCATAAAGCCAGAGAACTCTTTTATCAAATGGATTTCGAGCCAAATGAGATGACCCTGGCTAGTGTTTTATCAGCATGTGCTCAACTAGGAGACTTCAAACTAGGGGAGCACATACATGATCATATTACTCAAAATGGGTTTGAACAAAATGCTTTTGTATGCACTGCCCTCATAGATATGTACGCCAAATGTGGAAGGTTAGAAGAAGCAATTCAGATATTCAAAGATGTTAGAGAGAGAAGCATCGTGTGTTTGAATGCAATGATTGGGGCTTACGGGCTTCATGGTTATGGAAGAGAAGCACTCTCTCTCTTCTCAGAGATGCTTTCTTTAGGGGTGAAGCCAAATGAAAGCACTTTCATCAGTGTTCTCAGGGCTTGCAGCCATTCAGGCTTGGTAGATGAGGGCTTGGCTCATTTTGACTTAATGTTTAAGGGCTTCGGAGTGAGCCCAAGTACTGAGCATTACGTGTGTATAGTGGACTCACTTAGTCGGGCCGGTAGGCTTAAAGAGGCTTGTGAGTTTATTAAGGCAATACCTAGGGAGCCTAAAGCAGGGGTTTGGGGTGCTTTGTTAAGTGGGTGCAAAGACAATGGTGATCTTGAGATTGGAAGGTTTGCTGCCGAGAGGGTATTTGGCTTGGAGTCTGAAAATGTTGGCTATTACATATCGCTTTCGAACATATATGCAGCTGAGAGAAGATGGGGAGATGTAGTAGAGATTAGGTCGAGGATCAAGGAGAAAGGGTTGAGAAAGATTGCAGGCTTTAGTGTTGTCGATGCTTGGTAGCACTCTCTATCTCTCTCTCTTCGCCCCCCCCCCCCCCCCCCCCCTGTGTGTTCGGATTTGGTACGGCATGTACAATCAACCAGAGGTGTAATGATCAGAG